ACCACTGGCTTTGGCACATCCTTCTTCTTATGTGGATGAGACACAACGTGCTCTTTCTTTTTCTTGGTTTCATGTTTATGAACAAACCCACCAACTTTTTTCCCCTCTTTTGATTTCGAACCAGATTCAACTTTACTTTTCTTGCTAGATTCAGATACCTCTTTATGAGCTGACTTAGTACGAGACGACACTGGTTCAGCTATGTCGTCAAAGCTTTCTCTTTGAACATTGAATGAAGTAGCAGAGGAAGATAAAAAAGACCAGAAGAAGACGAAGCAGAGACCCAAAACAACTATAAACGCCATTTTCACCCAAAGACCTCGTGGCTGTTTAATCCTTCGCGCGAAATGAGCAATCCCCATTTCTCTCTTTCTCTCTGTCATTACAAAAATCTCACCAAAGAAAACACTTTTAACGCATCTGAACAACAGAGATCTTCAAAGACCACTTTAACCAAACTTGGGATAAGCTCAGGAACCAAGGATTTAATAAAGCTTAAGCAAACACTGGAGCTATAATTACAAGATCTACGCGAGTTTCGAAGATTCTTGAGCACGAATTGGTGGGAAATTCGCAGTACCCAGATTGAAAAAGCTGCTAAAAGAAGAATTTTTTCACAGATTTGGTTGAAATGAACCGGATAAAATATCAAGTACAGAATAACAAAATCTCAGATTTCTCACCGTAAAACTATAAGAGAAAGACCAAAACAAAAGTAGTACCCAAATCGAATCGTAAAATTCAAGCTTTAAAAAATATATAATCACTTATGACTCTTTTATTGAGCTTATAGACAGTAATATTATCCTTTGTTGAACAACAAAAAAAGAAAAAAAGACAGTAATATTATGGAAAATTGGCAAGTATAACTAAGAAAAAAAATGAAAACATAATTATTAAGCAAACTCTTTTATGTGACATTAATCCTATCCATTAATTTTAAAATTTTTGATTAATTATTATGTTTAAATTTTTTTTGGTTATTAACCAAATTGACCCTAATATTATCCTCAATGTTTTTTCTTACTTTTTTTCCTTGTCTAGTTGAAAGTTGAAAACGAAAGAAAGAAAAAAACTAAAAGCTTTCCACTTTTGGTAATAAAATAAGCAGTGGTCAGGGCTTTGTCCGGTTTCGGGAAAGTGCCAAACGCGGCGAGACAATCGGAGACGACGGAGATCGACCACTTTAAGCTTAATGGGCTTCTAATAAATAAGCCCATTGGGGTTTAAGGAGATAATCTCGATGGGCTCATGCGGTGTAATATTGTGGCAATAAATACCTTGTGTGATCTATAATTTCATAATCATTATTACAAGTTTCAAGCGAATTTAAAAATAAGCTACTACTGAGTAATAATTTGAAATTTAATAAAGCGTGTGATAAGAGGAAATCCCAACTTCCAATGAGATTTTAGTCTTTTTAGATAAGCAAAGATTTGCCACATTTTTAGATGTTCACAAAGTCAACATTTCCGTTTACTTTTTTAGGTCTCTTTCTTTCTTCGATCACAATAGTCTTTCTTACTCTTTTTTTGTCATCTGAATATATATATTAAAGAGAAATGAGTTTGAGTTACAAGCTATTTGAAAGGAAACATTTGCTACAAGAAGCTCATGTTCCAAACCTAATACAAGGCCATCAAATAACCATAAAAATTCCTATCAAATCCGTTACTGATCCATTTCACTAAGATCGTTGATCATATCTGTCATAATCCAAAAGATCTTAGCCAAAAAGGAGCACCCAAAGCCACATAAGATTGAGTACGGAACTTGTTAGTAACACTAGAAGCAATCAAAAGAGCACATCAGTTAGAATGATTACACTCCACTTCCATCTTCCATTCACTATTTGATCAAGGACCCTTAAAAATTCATCTACCTGCCAAGCGAAAGAGGGCCATGCCTGGTCTTTGCAAAGCATTTATGAATTCTGCTGCATTGGAACCGAAGAGAACCCGTTTGATCTTATGGGATACCATACCCTCAAAGGCCAAAAGGTGAGCCTGGAACTTGGCTTCTAGGGAATCGATATCAGAGAAACACCTTCTCCTATGAAGGAGCACATCACCACTACTATTTCTGATAATCCAAGAAGCTCCTCCCATTTGTTGGTCTTTGGACCAAGCTCCTCACAACAGTCTTCCTTACAAATCCATTCTTAAAAAAAAAAAAGTATTCATTTCGTTTTCAAATAGC